ATTGGTCGGTCGTGCTGTGCCCTTCATTTAATAGCAAGACAAGCAAGGCAGATGCTGGGTTTTCGTTCATCTGTCGACCTCGTGTCTACAATGTGTGCATTCGCATGGACATGCGCTTGACCAGAGATGTGAAGCAGACATATGAGTCCCTAGTCGAGAAGTTGGCAGCGACCTTGCCGAAGCCAAAGTCGTGGACTTGGGTAGAGACTCCTGGTATCAACAGCTTCCGTTTGTGTGTTGCGTAGGGTACGTAAGCTTTCCTTCTATAATGCTCCTTGTGATTACTCGCTTGCTGGTGGCCGCTATGTGACTAAATTGTACGGTTTGGTTTTACATGGCACGGGCAGTCCGCACAGGTGCCTGGCCACTGCGGAAGTGCTGCTCGGAGAGGAGAACTTGGCTCGCAGACGTCAGAAACTGCCAACAATTGGTTGCCCCTCAAAAGATTGGATGTATTTGCTTCTTGACTTGCTTGACCAAGCCTTTGCATTGACTTTGTGAGACTTGTAAGACGGTTGGTTTGGACTGGGACGTTTAAAAGCGGAGATTGTCTGAAGCAGGCTGACCACGGCGCAGTCGCATCGGCTCGACCAAGCCGTGAAGTTGTGGCAGGACAAGTATGGCTCTAACGCCGAGTCGGACCCCGAATGCTTAATCGATTTGTCCCAGGATCCAACGAAGCGATCTTGGTGCGTGAGACGCGGGCAATTTCCAACGCTCAGGCATGGTTCAGGCTTGCACTGGTGGCCGAGTCGGAAGCGATGGGTGACGTCTGTGGAGAAGGCCGCAATGATGGGTTTCCCTGTATCGCCGCAGATAGCCGAAGTCGAGGGCATGCCAGTAGATGAATTGACAGCAGCTGGAGAGCCAGGTGAAGCAGGCCGGCTCGGCAACAGTTTTCACGTAGCGAACTGCGGACTTGCACTGGCTTGTACATTGTGCTGCCTTTCAAACCAGTAAGTCTGCCTGAAGTCGCAACAACTGCGCACCGTCTTCGGTGACTTGCGCAGGAGGCATGTGGTTGTGGAAGGTGTCTGCGAGGCTGAGCGAGTTTCTCTTTCAGTGGACCAAGAGCGAGAAAAAGGCCGCAGCAGAAGCTGAATCAGCAGCAAGATGCTTCCGAATGTAACAGTAGAGAGAGAGAGAGAGAGAGAGAGAGAGAGAGAGAGAGAGAGAGAGAGAGGGGAAAACCATTCAGTAGTCTACAAACAACTGCAGAGTTTTTGTTTGAGAGGGGGAGTCAGTCCCCCCGTTTTAGCCATCAGAGGGATTTTAGGATTGCTTGCTGAAGCCCACTAACATCAGACGAGGTCGCCATGGAAAGAGATCCGGTGCAGTCCGCCTAGCAAACACGAGCATAACGACTTTCATACAAGATGAGCGACTTTCCTACAAGTGAGACTATTCGACTGTCCCGGCCCAACCACAATGTTGCTGGCGTTCCATTAGACGGTTGGGCCTGCTTCTTTTCGAGATACCGGCCTGCCGGACAAAACTGGCCTGTCGGAAACAGTCTGTCGCGTGGCCAAGGTGAAGCACAAAGTTCGTCGCATCTGGTGCACCGTGCAGGGGTGCAGGCTGGTTCGTTTGAAAGGTTAGAGATTGTTCGTGCCTGCTTAGGGGTGTCCCGGGCTGGTTTGGGTCTTTCGGAAGGGCGATTTATGTGTAGGAGTTTTTGGTTACTAGGCCAGTCCATTGCACTATGAATCACTCATTCGGTTCGGGTAAGTTAGGGAGCAGGGTCGCGGTTCTGATTCTACACTATGCACGGGTGCAGGCCTTTATTTGGGTTGTTCAGGGTTACGGGTTGGATTGTGTGGAGGTTTTGGTTACTAGGCCAGTCCATTGCACTATGGATCACTCATTCGGTACGGGTAAGGTAGGGAGCAGGGTCGCGGTTCTGATTCTACACCATGCACGGGTGCAGGCCTTTATTTGGGTTGTTCAGGGTTACGGGTTGGATTGTGTGGAGTTTTTGGTTACTAGACCAGTCCATCGCACTATGGATCACTCATTCGGTTCGGGTAAGTTAGGGAGCAGGGTCGCGGTTCTGATTCTACACTATGCACGGGTGCAGGCCTTTATTTGGGTTGTTCAGGGTCACGGGGTGGATTGTGTGGAGTTTTTGGTTACTAGGCCAGTCCATTGCACTATGGATCACTCATTCGGTACGGGTAAGGTAGGGAGCAGGGTCGCGGTTCTGATTCTACACTATGCACGGGTGCAGGCCTTTATTTGGGTTGTTCAGGGTTACGGGTTGGATTGTGTGGAGGTTTTGGTTACTAGGCCAGTCCATTGCACTATGGATCACTCATTCGGTACGGGTAAGGTAGGGAGCAGGGTCGCGGTTCTGATTCTACACTATGCACGGGTGCAGGCCTTTATTTGGGTTGTTCAGGGTTACGGGTTGGATTGTGTGGAGGTTTTGGTTACTAGGCCAGTCCATCGCACTATGGATCACTCATTCGGTTCGGGTAAGTTAGGGAGCAGGGTCGCGGTTCTGATTCTACACTATGCACGGGTGCAGGCCTTTATTTGGGTTGTTCAGGGTCACGGGTTGGATTGTGTGGAGTTTTTGGTTACTAGGCCAGTCCATTGCACTATGGATCACTCATTCGGTACGGGTAAGTTAGGGAGCAGGGTCGCGGTTCTGATTCTACACTATGCACGGGTGCAGGCCTTTGTTTGGGCTCTGCCTCTGGACCTTGGCCTTCGTTTCGACACAGCATGGCGTCTTGCGCGGTCGCTTTTGGCTTGTTCTTCGTTTCAGTTTTGGCTCTACCAAGAGGCAAGCCTGCAAGGCAACCCAAAAAAACATCGGGCTTGCCTTCAAACCGTTGGCCGGGTTTGGAGCTCACACTCTTGGAACCATGGTGTCTGACAGAGCTTTTGGCCAACATGCTCCAGCCTTGGGAAGCAGACGACAGCAGGGCAATGTGCCAATGTGCCTGCTGGGTTCTGGGAAGGACACCATGGAGTACAGGGAGTGGATGTGGCGGTGGGGCGAGTCCCGCATCTGTCCATATTACATGGGAGGCCTCTTGTCTTGTGATCGATTGACTCGCTTGAGATTGCGTTGTGTTCCCGTTGCCGCTTGTCTTGTGTTGTGGCATGACTTGCTGGTTGCCACATGAATGCGAGCCAGCGGAACCGAGCCCCCGAGGGGGGTGTGGAAAATTTCACATGCAGGGTTGACCGCCTGCAGGCGTGGTTCCATTCCCGCGGTGTTAAGGCCACGCCGACGTGGCCGATGATCGTTTTAACGATCTAGGCCCGGAGGTATGACAGTGGGGCACATGCGCCTAATGCGTCCACTGGCACCGACTCCTGCAAAAGCCTCGACCTGCCTGGCAGGCTTCCCGAAAGGGGGCTTTGCTGGGTATGGTCTTGGCATAATGTCCGGGATGAGTTGGCTGGCGATGGGGAGGTCCTTTGTGATTGGCCGGTTGGCCTATCACAGAGCTTGAGCTTGGCATGAGTCGTGTGTCATGGAGTTGAGTGCATGTGAACCTTTAGCAAGAAATAATTGTAAATGTCGATCACAAGTGAAGGCACAAGGAGCTGCATCTTGGCGTGGTTGTCTTCAGCCCGGTTGAAGGTTCACACTGGCTTGGAGGGGTCCCGGGCTGCTTGGGGTTGTTTAGGGTTGCTTCGGAGGGCCGGTTTGCATGTCGGCATTCGAGGTTACGAAACCAGTCCATGGTTGGCTAAATTAGGGAGCAGGGTGTTTGTGAGTCTCATTCTTCATGGGGCCTCAGGATTCTACGCTTGTAAGGACGAATGATGACTCTGCACAGGTGGGGTGTCGCGGAACAATGCTGCAGACAGGATCCGTTCATTGTTTGTGTTTGTCGAGCATTTGTTGCACGTTGTTGCCGCACTCTCTACGAAAGAAGGAGGCCAGGTCGCGACGTAAACTTGAAGCACAACATGCAAAGGCATTTGTTGGAGGGCGTGTTGTGCACTTATTATAGGTGGTTTTTGTTGACCAGGATTCTCGTTTGTTGTACGGCTTGTGTGTAACATGCGTGTCTTGCAGCATACTGTTGTTAACATAGTGGATTCACGTTTATAGCCGTATAGTTGTAGCCATCTGTCTATCTTACCATCACGGGTAGTGCGCGGTCTTTATGGGTTTGAGTTATTCCAGGTCTCAGTCCGGAACCCCTGACTCCCTACAATGCTAAAGTTTAACTTAGAGCACACAGTGCCAGCACTTTTTCTGGAGGAGGATGGAGGGCACCCCAACTATAGCCAACGCTTGGGTCTTTACGATTTCCTGGTCGACTGTTTGAAGCCTGCAAGAGGAATGTCGGACTTATACGTGCAAGTAGCAAGCAAGTCGTGTGTTGGGCATGTCACCCGCCCTGGAGCCCTGTGGGCTGCTGCACGTAACTTAGCTCCGCTGAATGGTGACGACAGAAGCAGCATGCGATATCAACGCGGCTAGCATACAAAAACCAGCATTTGATCGATGTGGGACCGTCCAATGATTGCTGCTGACAGCGAGCGTGATTGAAGACATGTTTCTATGATTGCTGCCACGCCAGATTGCTGCCCCCTTTTGAACATTTCCCGGCCAGGTGTTGCGGCGACCCGAGTGATTGTGGCTGCCCAAGGCCAACATCCAGTGCGCCGGGAGATTGTGGGTCCTTATCAACACTTCTGAATTCAATGCCCAAGCCAAGTTGCAACTCCCCTGCTGATATGTCCTCTGCAGTAGCACCGACGCAGAGCCTGGGTTCGACCTTTCTTTGCCGGTAAAGTCCAGCCATTGCTGATGGGACATGGTGTTAGACACACTTGCGTTTCAAGTCGCAATTTTGGCTCTTTCCTAGTCGCCGACCATATCTCTGCTAGGCTTTCTTGTCAGTGAGTCGGGGGGGTCATTGCACCAGTGTCCTGCCCCCTGCTTTCAATTGCGATAAGCGCCACGAACCCTTGGACCCAAGGACACCCTTCCCATCATACATCCGTCCGGTTATCTAGTCGAAGACATCATGACCATGACCGATTTGCCGGATCTGGACAGCGGTGATGGCATCAAGCTGCTGGACCTCGACGAACCTGATAGGGAGAAGCTGGCAGACTTTTCTTCTGATGATGAGTCGGAGATGTTCTTTGAGCCGATGAAGCCAGATGGAGAAGAGCTGGCGCAGTCGGAGGCCGAGAACATTGTCTTGATGATTGACGAAGGCAACCCAGACTCAGCATCTTCCTGTTGGAGGCCGGGAAAGGAACTAGGCAAACAGCTCGGTCGTGGGCAGGGTGCTGGCAACTTTCAGACGCAGACACAGATGATACTGTGTAACGTGTTTTTCGCATTGCGAAGGCTTCCTCGAGCCTTGCTGCAAGAGATCAGTCGAGGTTGCAGACCCACTTCTTTCAAGAAGGCCAAAAGCTTGGCAGCAGACGTGGCTGGCCAACTCACCCGAGTCGCTGGCAACTCAATCCGTGGAGTCGTGTCGAAGCTTCGGAGGGCAGGTTGGCAGATCAAGGAGTCGGAGCCCGTGTGCAATACAGAAGAGGCTGCCAAAGCATCAATCTGTCATTCACAAAGTGAGTCGGTCAGTATGCAGCTCTTGGTGACAGAGGTGTTGGCCAATGCGGCGGAGAGCAACTCGGACGAGAGCCTTCTCCGTCGCCTTTGTCGTCTGCAAGACCATGGGTTTGGCGTTGGGGAGAAGTTGCATTCGACACAGTTCTTCCAGCTCGTTGAGCACCTGGCTGCAGCTTACGTGAAAGAAGTCGACGCAGGTGATCTCTCGGCCCGGCATCAAGTCGCACTTTTCCTTGATATTCGACATCGTATCGCTTGGGAGGAGTTCCTTCAGTCGTCACGAAAGCCTAGTTGTCACTGGCATCTCCTTTGTCTCACCGACAACGGGAATGTTGCACACAAGGCTTCTGGGTGCACCGTCAGTTGGTGGCAACCACACTGGAGAGCAGGTTGCAGCTCAGGCTTTATTAGCGCTGGAGTCGCACCCAAGCATGCTGAATCGACAGACTGCCGCACGTCGCCTGGCAGCCATAGGAGGCGACGGAGCAATGGTGGCTGGAGGGGATCAGGCACGTCACAAGTCGACAAAGGCTGCAAAGCATTTGTGGAGTCCCTTGGTTTTAGTTTGGGCATGACTTGTCCTTGCTTTTGCTTCAGTTTAGCGAACTGTTTAGGACTTGGCCCACAACATGAGCGGGGTGTTTGCAAGCAGCGCTGTGTCCAGGTTTGATCCGCGGTTCGGACCCGGAGTCCTTTCTGGAATGGGATGCTTTTCACAGAGAGGAGATATGTCGGAAAAGGTCTTTCCGCGAGCACGCTCTCACCCAGGAGCTCTTCGACGTGGCAGCAGCCACGACATCCCTTTTCGGCATCGGAGCTCCTACGGCATTATGTCATTATGCATGATGCATGACGAGCGGTATTACATGCC